TTAATAAGATACAATAACTGTATGTCACATGTTTGGATTTAATTACAATGTATATGCAGACTAGTCAGTGACAGTTAGACCTGCATCCATTGATTTTCTTAAGGAATTCCTAGATTTCACAGTTAGAGATAATATATATTTTTGGATCACTTAAAATATGACCAGGATCATGGTAACTGGAGGTGGTATTTAATGTCCCAATGTGTGTTGGTCACAGGTATATTCCATTATAGCCATGTTATGACTTCTTAATTATATTTCAAAGTTAAGTTCTAAGTTGTCCTTCTGTGTTGAGCTTAAACTGAACAAGATGTTGTTAATTATGGATAAAACATCACTATAACTTTGTACCAGTTTATAACATGATAGATTTCATTTCATTCAAACTTAATGTTTCATATCATGAAAACTTATGTTAAAATATGATAAACTTTTGCCTTTTTTTATTTAAAAGTATTAGTTAAAAGTCTATGAAGAAATCAAATTGAGGGATTCTATCATTATATGACCCATTTATGTTTTGTTTAATAAAGATTGAATCTTGCTTGTTGTGATGGAATGCTATCTTTCATATTGTTTTATTTTATTTTACAGCTCCAAATCCTCCTACGGGAGTTGGTTGTAACGTTAACCTCATTACAGATCAAACCATCACTCTGACCTGGACAGCTCCAGTGTATCCGAACGGAGACATTCAACACTATATAGTCAACAGTAATACAACTACTGCTATGTTTCCCACGTCAACAAACCTGACTGAGTTTACGGTTGATGGCCTAGTGCCAGGTAAGATAGATATGTTCAAATCAATATTCAATCCGTAGTTTATTCAGTGTATTTTGAATGATCTGCAGTCGAAGATATTAAAGATATTATAGTTTTGCTGTTTACAATGTATGTGTGTACCATTTTAGTACAAACTTCAGGTGATTATACAGTCGAACCTCGTTATCTCGAAGTCTACGGGATAGTTGGGAAACTTTGAGTTATCCGAGTATTCGAGTTAAGCGAGTTCTATGGTTGGCATAAAGCTTGGTAAAGTGTTTGGCCAATATGAGGCCATATATGTCATTGATTTCTCTGACAATCAACGTATTTAAACAGTCGATAAATGACAAAAAGATAACTATTTTAAATAAAAAAAATAACAACTTATTCATAATCTAATTAATTAATTAATGTTACAATAAATACACATTCTGTCTCCAACCTCTGCTATGCTGATAGAAATTTCAATGCGGAAATGAAAGTGCGCAAGTNTAAAAGGTGACCACAGTCTGCTTTAAACATTGATACAGAAAAGGCGACCACAACCTGTTTTTTACATTGATACATGGACAAGTGACCACAGCCTGCTTTATGCATTGATACATGAAAAAGTGACCGCAGCCTGCTTTATACATGGATACATGTAAAAGTGACCACAGCCTGCTTTATACATTGATACATGAAAAAGTGACCGCAGCCTGCTTTATACATTGATACAGTAAAAGTGACCACAGCCTGCTTTATACATTGATACAGGGAATGTGACCACAGCCTGCTTTATACATTGATACATGAAAAAGTGACCGCAGCCTGCTTTATACATTGATACAGTAAAAGTGACCGCAGCCTGCTTTATACATTGATACATGAAAAAGTGACCACAGCCTGCTTTATACATTGATACAAGAAAAAGTGACCACAGCCTGCTGTATACATTGATAAAGGAAAAGTGACCACAGCCTTCTTTATACATTGATACAGGGAATGTGACCACAGCCTGCTTTATACATTGATACAAGAAAAAGTGACCACAGCCTGCTGTATACATTGATACAGGAAAAGTGACCACAGCCTGCTTTATACATTGATACATGAAAAAGTGACCACAGTCTGCTTTATACATTGATACATGAAAAAGTGACCACAGCCTGCTGTATACATTGATAAAGGAAAAGTGACCACAGCCTTCTTTATACATTGATACAGGGAATGTGACCACAGCCTGCTTTATACATTGATACAAGAAAAAGTGACCACAGCCTGCTTTGAAAATTGATTCAGGGACAGTGACCACAGTCTGTTTTATACATTGATACAAGAAAACGTGACCACAGCCTGCTTTAAACATTGATACGGGAAAAGGTGACCACAGCCTGCTGTATACTTTGACACAAGAGAAAAGTGACCACAGTCTACTTTATACATTGATACAGTAAAAGTGACCACAGCCTGCTTTATACATTGATACAGGTAAAGTGACCACAGCCTGCTTTATACCTTGATACAGGAAAAGTTGACCACAGCCTGCTTTATACATTGATACATGAAAAAGTGACCGCAGCCTGCTTTATACATTGATACATGAAAAAGTGACCGCAGCCTGCTTTATACATTGATACATGAAAAAGTGACCGCAGCCTGCTTTATACATTGATACATGAAAAAGTGACCGCAGCCTGCTTTATACATTGATACATGAAAAAGTGACCGCAGCCTGCTTTATACATTGATACATGAAAAAGTGACCGCAGCCTGCTTTATACATTGATACATGAAAAAGTGACCGCAGCCTGCTTTATACATTGATACATGAAAAAGTGACCGCAGCCTGCTTTATACATTGATACATGAAAAAGTGACCGCAGCCTGCTTTATACATTGATACAGGAAAAGGTGACCGCAGCCTGCTGTATACATTGATACAGTAAAAGTTACCACAGCCTGCTTTATACATTGATACAGTAAAAGGTGACCACAGCCTGCTTTATACATTGATACAGTAAAAGTTACCACAGCCTGCTTTATACATTGATACAAGAAAAGGTGACCACAGCTTGCTTTATACATTGATACAGTAAAAGTGCCCACAGCCAGCTGCTTTATACATTGATACAGTAAAAGTGCCCACAGCCAGCTGCTTTATACATTGATACAGTAAAAGTGCCCACAGCCAGCTGCTTTATACATTGATACAGTAAAAGTGCCCACAGCCAGCTGCTTTATACATTGATACAGTAAAAGTGCCCACAGCCAGCTGCTTTATACATTGATACAGTAAAAGTGCCCACAGCCAGCTGCTTTATACATTGATACAGTAAAAGTGCCCACAGCCTGCTTTTATTTGAAGTTGAATGCACAGAGATTGTTGAAATTAATAATTCTAACATTATTTATTTCCACTGATTGGGCAAATGTCATTATGACATTATCAACGTCCTCTCAAAGTATCAAAATAAGAAGGGATTTTGATCATAAACTGCAAAGAAAGTTAAATCAACCTAAAAATTATCCGAAAGTTCATAAACTGTTAAGTCAATAGAGAAAGTTTAACAATAGCCTGGAGATCTTAATAATAACAAAGAGAAGAATCTCCAAAAGGTAACTCATAGACATTGTAGATAAAGATAATGAAGAGGTACCAAATATATCAGATTGAATTATTCAGAAACATATGAAGTGTAAAAAGTCCTGTATTAGACATAATGTATAAGGCAGTATGCATCCAGCGTTTTTGATGGAAACCTCTTCAACAATGGTTTATCATTGAAAACCATGCATTAGAAACTATACCAGACAGTTGAAAAAAGCAAGTGTCGGTTTTGTATCTGTGGCATACACAATAATGGAGAAGAACACAAGTACCGGGGTAATACGGGCCTGTAAGTCTGTCATTTGTAAGGTCATGGAAACAATTGTTAGCAACTTCATTGAAAATGAATTTAAAACAAAGCAGTAATCTGATTAACAATATGGATACCTGTTGGAAAGATCCAAGACACTACAATATTACCCGAAGTCAGGACAAGAGAAAGTTCATAAAATAATCTAAAATCATATAATAGTTAAAGGGACATCACGTGAAAAGGCGTTTTTTTTTTAATGAATGTAAGTATTGTATGCACTTTCACTTATGTTACCTCGCTATCCCCATATTCATAGTCCGTTCCAAATGTCCAGTTTGACCACTTGAATTGTTTGGAAAAGCCCTGTTAAAAATAGCTTTAAAAATTAAACAATGTCTTATGACCAAACAGCTGTAGTAAATTTGGTATGTGTTATTACCTACCGTCACTACATGTAGAAGTTACCTGCTCTCAGGTCCCAAAATCAGGTACAATGTGGAGGAATATTACTCACCTGTTGTCTGTTCCATATCAGGATATAAAGAGACTGCGCCAATACGTCACAACGAGGTTGTCGTGTAGCACGGCGAGATCTCGTGTCGGTATGGTCCACGGGAGAGAACTCTCCTGAAATTCACCCCACAGCCTAGGATGATAATGTTAAATGTCAAATAGATAACCTTTAAGGTCACAGGGGTTATATAATTCAAAGGTTCAACTGACACTGTTTCTAGAAAATTTACTAACAAAACGGACACACATACTGCAACAAGATTCAGAGGTAAACAAGAAGAGAAGCAAAAAATGGCTAATAAAGATGCACTGTGGTGAATGTTAATACATACATGTATACATTAGCAGATTAAAGGTACCAAAATATATCTCTAAATTAATACATACAAATTTCATTGGAAATGCACTCAAAATATCAGTCAAGGAAAAGGACATTAAAGTTATTGATTATTTATTCATATTCAACTTTGTTGACCACTTCAATGAATGAAAAAAGTTAAAACAAAATGCCATCATCAGAACCTTTCAATAGTTAGAATATACAATAATTATGTCCAACTACGAATAAATTTGGAATATAGTGGAGCAATATTCCGGTCACCTTACGAACTGAAAATAGAAAGTGTACAGTGTCACCTCTAAACATCTGCTTGGAATGAAATATCTGGACTATCCAGACAGGTAATGGAAAAAACTAGCTATATACAGAAGAAGTCAACTGGATTTGATTTAGGTATATAAAACAGTATGTAGCAGTGTATCTGCTCTGGGATCGCTGTGTACTTAAGCACCACAGAAGACATCAGTTCGATTCCAAGATTTATTCTGGGTGTCGAATAAACCCTATAACAACAATATAACAGTACATTAAAACAAATTCTCAAACTTACACTACCTGAACGAGTTATGAACTCGTCCAAATCTAACACGACCGGTTAACGCACTCAGTACAAACACGCTTCACTATACAAGTACTACTAAAGTACAATACCGGATAACCCAGTCGCTATCATACATTACAGAGTCAACGCTCGTACGCTATGAATTACAATACATAATTCACTCTGTTAGTTAGTAATACAATATATATACATATCACGTTGTCGCATTGAAATTGACTCAATTACAGCACTTATGTTTATAAGAAATGCACAAAATTACAAATACTGTAAGTTACACTAAATACACAAATTTATACATTAAAGCAACAACCTACCTCTTCAAAAAGGGAAGAGGGCTTAAGGGACACAACCCGTGGATGACGGTATACCAGGCCACAGAACGAAACGTAGGATCTACAAATTATGTTAAATAATTAGCAAAGATAACAAAAGTTAACTTTCACCAGAATTTAGAAAACAATTATAATGAATGAAATATATCTCAACACACCTCTTCTGAATAATGTAAAAGATAAACGTGAACTCCAAACAACATGAAATTCAAATTACAAAAGATCGATTCACTCACAATTCAACAGAGAGCCTACTAAATATAATTCAACATCGATCTTTACCAGATGATACAATTACAATAATCCTAAAAGATACTTATTTACAATATAGTTAATGTACAACATGATCAGTACTTACAATAATTTCCAAGTACAAAGGATGAAAATGGCCTCTCTCAATAAAACCCAACCATCATCATACAAAGTCCACAGGTGTGTGAATTTACCGCGCGCCTTGCGCAATGCCCACTGGGCATTCAGCTAAAAATAGATTCGCCCTTTGACATAGCAAAGAACCGGTTTATAATACATAATAAAATAAGACATCCACTTGCGTCACAAAACACCGGACCGGAACTTGCACACTTCTATTAAAAATACAATAAACGGTCTACAAAATTGTACCCTACTACAAGTATACAAAATTTATAATAGGAAGGCCTGTGTTTATATGGAACCGTACAAAATATAAATTGAAGAAAATATTTCTATGTTGATCATTAACATCCTTGAGGAGAAATTACGTAACCTAATTATGTCTTTTGTCCAAACCTACCTGAAACAATCTGCCAGAAGATAATTGTTTCTGCACCTGACACAAATACTTATAATAACACAATAGATCAACTTCTAAAGAATGAAGAACTTTATCATAATTACAGAGTGCATGTAACTGAAAGTGAAATTTAAGTTTTAGTATCAGAATTGTATAATCTAATGTAAAGGAGCTCCATATACAGCTCCTGTATTGGAACTTCCCAAGTTATCTTGACTCATGTGAATTGTTTCCATGGATAAAAGTACTTAACTCTGGTTGACTAGACTGTGTATTAGACATGATGGACAAACATAAAACGACATATATCATTATGTATTGTTAACATAAAGTATCTATACTGTTTCCATTGTAGAAACCAGTTATGTATTCAGTGTGGCTACAGTCAATGATGCAGTGATGCCACATTCCAACCTAAGTCAATACAGCTCACAGATGGGATGCCCAACAAAAGCCGCTAGTGAGTAGGATATTTATAGCTAGTTTGACAGTTTACTGATTTTTTAAGTTACTAAACAAAAGTTTTGGATACTTATTTTCACTTTAATGTATAAATTAAAATTCCATAATTCCATCTATCAATCAAAAAAAAAAATCAGATATAAAAGTATTATGTATGTATACATGCGTAATTTGCTTTGTGTCTACTTTGAAGCTTGTTGAAAAGGTTCAGCAAAATATTAACTGAACTAGTCTTGTAAAATCATTGCCTCCACCTGGTTTTAGACTGCATTGATAAAACTCAAGGGCAGTGACTTGTATAGCGAAATTCTTAAAACATGCTTACTGTCGGCCATGTCATGGCTTTACTTATTATACTGGTTGATACATGACCAAAGGTATTCCATATTTATCCTAGACATAATGAGATTTTTAAAAGTGATGTTTGTGTATGAATTTACCAGGTATCAGCTTAAATTGTAACATAAGCTAGTTACTCCTGATAAGTTCTAGATGTGTTCAGATGTTAGAAATGCTCTTCAGTGTCAAGATATCTGGTTAATGAATAGTGAAATTCAGTATTGTTATTATATTATTTGAATCCGGTAATTATTCTAATAATCGTAAGAGACAGGAAGTGATTTCAGACAGGTGGTCACCATGGATGTTTTACTGTACACATTGGTTTTGAACAAACCAATTATCTTAAGGTTGGAATCTTTTTAAAAATTATTGGGTTGTAAATCATTCAATTTTATAAATGAAAATTATAACATTGTACAGCAATTACTTATGTTTAATAACATCTGTTGTAATACCTGTAATTGCTCCACATGTTCCTTTTACAGTGTCATTGAAGCCGAGCACCTTGGTTGTATCACAGGAACAGAGTCGACAGTTTACCCTGAACTGGGCCAAGCCTACCGTTACCAATGGTGATCTTCGAGGATACAGACTCACAGTGTTGGACGGGAGCACGTGTGTCCAGGAGGTCATCTTTACGTGTACTACATGTCCAGGGGTAATGGCGCTTTATTGTTGTAGTGCGATAACAAAAAATGTGTTCGTCAAAGAATAATGTGCAACAACAATGTCTTTGTCTATTACGATTAAATGATATATAATATACTGGTTGTAAGAAGTACATGTATATCATTTCTTCATAAATACGGGGCACACATTGAAATTGAGAGTTATCTTACAGTACTTTGTATTCTTTTATGCCATTATGCTATTATAATAATACATGGGACAATCTTGTTGAACATTTTCAGTATTAACTCCTTTAAGTGAACATAAATACTTTATATCTTTATGCTGATTTCAGTATTATCTGGTGTAATGAGTTGGTTTCTTTTTTAACGTTAATTAGCTAGAACGTCAAAGTAACCAGAAATCTATAAGGATTGAACATCATCCGACAAAAACACTTATCAACACATTATAGATATATAAATAAGATGAAAAAGAAAAGTATGGTTTTATTTTCCAGTATATGGCTTTCCCCTTTAAATGCCATGAAGCGGTCAGACAAACAGTGACAATTCTACCTGCAGACTTAGATAGTTACACCTACACTGTCGGGAACCTCCTACCATATATCAACTACACAGCCAGTGTGGTAGCTGTTAATGCAGCAGGAGACGGTCACCCTAACACACAATATGCCATGACAGACCAGGAAGGTGAGATCAGTCTTAAATTAGGATATTAACAATTGTTTAAATTGTCCCGTTTTTAACCGTTATCTTTCTTGTACATTGTGCCAGTAGAAGCAGGTCTTGTATATATTTTAGGGACTGTATAGCACAGTTGGTTGTTCCCCAGTCTATTAACCACTAGGTCATACATTTGATAATGTGTATCATCATTGAGGAGTGTTTAAGTCCTAGAACAAGTCACTTTGATGCGTGTCAACTCCACTTACCTATAGTATGGTCTGAGTTGGTATGACAGTTTCTGTCTGTACTTTTCAAGTAGTTATGGAACTATAAATAAATTATTTGAAAAACAGCTCCACAGCCAACACCTAAATAACACCTATCATACACTCTCATTTTTCCTGAAAACAAATTTCATGCAATTTTATCTAAAAATGTCATACCAAAATAATTGTTTTTGAATTTTCATTTAATCAGATTTTCTACATTCAAATTAAGATATGAAGGTCAATGACATTTGATTATATGAATTAATTTATATTAATGCAATATCGTTGTCAGCTCTCCCTCTTTAGTGTGGAGATTCCCTCATTTTGACCAAAATTTACCAATTTCCCTCAAAACTCCCTCATTCAAATCCAAACTCACATAAACTCATCCTGTGGTCAAATGATCTCCTAGTTACTAAAGGGTGTGTGTAATGATCATAACAGGTGTGTCTAAATCAAATGAATGCTTGTTGGAGTTATTTTGATACAGCAAACCGTATAGATAAATTGAGCAAAGCACTTTCAGTCAAAATTAATCAAAAGGAGAATTTAAAATTCTTGTTCATCCCTTATAAGAATACTAACAATTTGTGATACTAACACTATGTGATGCTAATAAAATATCAAACTATTAAAAAAGAACTATTTTAGAGTGCATTATTCTATAAACCTAGTCAGGTTAACCTTGTTTTTACTTTTTCAGTTCCACAGCATCCTACCACCTTGACAGCTACTGTTGTGAGTAGCACTAAAATAAATGTGAACTGGGACATCAGTGATCCAAAGCCTGGACCTACCACCTATACATTGTATATCATAGCGGTAGCACCGGAGTCAAGTCGTACACAAACCATACCAGGTAAGTTACAATCAGTATAACTCACACATCCTACCCTACACTGTATATCATACCAGTAACATCAGATATACCTCACACAGAAACCATACAATGTCAGTAACACACAGTATAATTCACACATTCTACCCTACACTGTATATCATACCAGTAACACCAGCTGTAACTCACACAGAAACNGTCATATCATTAACACCAGCTATACCTCACACAGAAACCATGCAATGTCAGTAACACACAGTATAACTCACTCACCCTACCCTACACTGTATATCTACCAGTAACACCAGCTATACCTCACACAGAAACCATGCAATGTCAGTAACANCTTTAACTCACACAGAAACCACACAATGTCAGTAACACACAGTATAACTCACACATTCTACCCTACACTGTATATCATACCAGTAACACCAGATATACCTCACACAGAAACCATACAATGTCAGTAACACACGGTATAACTCACACACCCTACCCTAGTACCCTGTATATCTACCAGTAACACCAGCTATACCTCACACAGAAACCATACAATGTCAGTGACACACAATATAACTCACACACCCTACCCTAGTACATTGTATATCATACCAGTAACACCAGATATACCTCACACAGAAACAATGTCAGTAACACACGGTTTAACTCACACACCCTACCCTAGTACATTGTATATCATACCAGTAACACCAGATATACATCAACAGAAACAATGTCAGTAACACACGGTATAACTCACACACCCTACCCTATGCTGTATATCATACCATTTATACCAGATATACCTCTCACAGAAACCATACAATGTCAGCAACACACAGTAAACTCAAACACCCAACGTACCTACACTGTATAGTATACTGGTAATAGATACCTTATACATTAATATATACATGGTTATTAACGTCCAGTATTACTCACAAACGTCATTACACTATGTATCACACCAGAAAATTGAATATGATTTGACAAGCATATTAGTTATGTACCAGTTATTGAAATGTTTCTATTGCTTCTAAATTTTACAAACGATTTATATATTGATACAAATGTATATAGGTGTTAATGAAAATATCAAAATATACATATCATATTTCATTAAACACTAAGATGATAACATTTATTGTTATATATGTTAAGTTGCTCACTATATCTTGCTTTGCTGTTCAGGGTTCTCAGTCAGATCATACAAAGTGGTAGGACTACAGGAATACAGAACTTACACGTTCAATCTGACAGCCTCTACTGCAAAGGGGTTGGCTGTATTTCAACAGGCACTGCCATCTGCAAAAACACTTGCTGCAGGTAATTGCTCTTTACAATTATTACATGAATTATTCACATTTTAATGAGAGCTTTTATACTACCAAGTTCTTTCTTAATTTGGATAGATCTTGAATAAATCCAGCCAGCACAAAAATAAGTCTATTAAAATGGTAATGAATCTATGCTTGTACTAAGCAATTTGTTTTTCTAAGCAGTAAGAGAAAATGTTGCTCTGTTTAACCTTTTGGACCTAACAGCTCCAGGTGCAGTGAGTAACTTTATGGTAGCTCGCCCCGATGGACCGAATTACACAACTGTGAGGGTATCCTGGGAACTTCCAGCGGTATTGGAGAGAAACAGTGACATCATCAAGTTCATGTTCTTACACAACACTTCTGAAGGGGTAAGCTTATGTCACAGAAAGAGACTAGTGTTCTTCCTCAGTGGATCGAACCAGAAAACCTACGGCTTTCCAGCCTGCCACTCTATATACTCAAAGATTGAGCTTAAATGGACTTGTATACATAACTCTGAAGGCATGTACATAACTCTGAAGGCTTGGAATGTTTGTATATTGTATATAAAAAAAAACACTACAAAAGGGGTGCGATTGTATACAGAACACTAAGATGGGGCAAGGGTCTATAGTTAATGGAATTGTTGTTGGACAGAGCAACGAGTCAACAAGTTCAATTGTTTAATGCCGCAGTATCACATCATCATATTTCTGAATATAAGAGGTAGCAACAGCTGCTATATGATATCTTGATGCTAAAATCTACCAAAAGATAATAAAAAGTTTGATTTTGAGAGATCGATTGAATTTTTTACTCATTGGGCTTCATAATATGTTTGTTGGCAATCAGATTTAATGTAAGTAACGAAAAAGGGGAAAGGTTGCTTCAAAAAAAGATAGCAATGTTTTGTGGAAGGGTAGAAGAACATCATGTGAAAAATCTATTCATTTGAGGGTCAGAGTAGTCATTGCTGCAACATACTTGTTCTTCAAAATTTTAGATTGTTGATCCTTGCTATTCATATTAACATTTAAGTTGACCTTTTTTACATAACTCATTTGATGTTGTTGTTGTGTTCCATACCCTGGTCATGTTATAGCAAACAATAGCAAAATAAACTCCATTTTCTAAAAACAAAAAAGAGGGGGGGGGGCAGTAATGAGGGGAGGAGGAGGGGTAAGAAAGATTTGCACTTATTATTATTTTAAATTTTAGTGACTAAGTTAAAAAAGAAATGATAAGGATTTTATTTTTCTTCAGAACTTAAATGCTGTTCCAGAAGAAGTACCGATAGATACTAATTTAAATACTGTAATAAGAAATCTAGCAGTTTTACCACATAATACCTACTACATTGAGGTGAGTATATGATCATCTTGTGTTCCGCAGTCTGTCCCTCATCAGTCGATTTGTATGTCGGTCCAAATTCTTGATATACTATTTCTAAAGTTTCTGTAAATAAGACAACCTAATTCAAACCACAAAATAAAAGTCACGATTCACTTTGTTATGCATAATTTGATATGAAATTATTTAACCTGCAACATTTACCAGTGCACAATAGATGGTGTAAATCTTGTAGTACATAAACATGTAACAAACATTGTACAGGTATATCTCAAACATTTGTGTCGCCCATAATACAGGTATCTCTAACACGTGTCACACATAATACAGATGCGTATAACACTTGTGTTACTCATTGTACAGATGTGTCTAACACTTGTGTCACACATTGTACAGATGTGTCTAACACTTGTGTTACTCATTGTACAGATGTGTCTAACACTTGTGTCACACATTGCACAGGTAAATCTCAAAGAGTTGCGTCACTCATACTACAGGTGTGTCACTCATTGTACATGTGTATCGAACACTTGTGTCATACATATCCAGGTAGGTTTCAATCACAACACGCTCAAGCGTTACCAATGCGTGGGTTTTTATTACGGTCAACTAGTTTCGACTCTATGTGCGAGTCTTCATCAGGACATTTTTACAAGATATTTCAGCCCCTGAAGTACTACATATGAACAATAAGTTTGAATTTCAGAGAAAGACATTTTTAATAATCACAGCATATCTATAAAGTTAGAACATCTAAGAAGGGCTGCATACTTTCGGTATCCTAACTCACAGCGCAGTACCCCGCCTACTCAACCAACCTACTCAACATTGACGTTGGCTCTATCTCGCATGTTGTGTCATACACTGTACAGGTATATCTACAATGTAACACATGTGTCAAACATAATACAGATGTGTATAACACTTGTGTCTGACATTTTATAGATGTATCTCTTACACTTGTGTCTGACATTGTATAGATGTATCTCTAACATTTGTGTCTAGAACATTGTATAGATGTATATCATACACTTGTGTCCAACATTGTATAGATGTATCTCTAAGACTTGTGTCTGACATTGTATAGATGTATCTCTAACACTTGTGTCTTACATTGGAAAGATGCATCTCTAACACTTTTTTCTAACATTGTATAGATGTATCTCTTACACTTTTGTCTAACATTATATAGATATATATCATACACTTGTGTCCAACATTGTATAGATGTATCTCAATCACGTGTGTCTAACATTGTATAGATGCATCTCTAACACTTTTTTCTAACATTGTATAGATGTATCTCTAACACTTGTGTCTAACATTGTATAGATGTATCTCTAACACTTTTGTCTAACATAGTAGATATATCTCTAACACTTGTGTCTAACATTGTATAGATGTATATCTAACACTTGTGTCTAACATTGTATAGATGTATCTCAAAAACTTGTTTCTAACATTGTATAGATGTATATCTAATACTTGTGTCTAACATTGTATAGATGTACCTCTTATACATGTGTTTAACATTGAATAGATGTATCTTAAACACTTGTGTCTAACATTGTATAGATGTATCTCTAACACTTGTGTCACACATTGCACAGATATATCTCATAGAGTTGCGTCACTCATACTACAGGTGTGTCACGCATTGTACATGTGTATCTACAATAAAACACATGTGTCACACATAATAGAGATGTATCTCTAACACTTGTGTCTATAACATTGTATAGATGTATCTCATACACTTGTGTCCAACAGTGTATAGATGTATCTCTAACACTTGTGTCTAACATTGAATAGATGTATCTCTAACACTTGTGTCTAACATTGAATAGATGTACCTCTAACACTTGTGTCTAACATTGTATAGATGTATCTCATACACTTGTGTCTAACATAGTAGATGAATCTCTAACACTTGTGTCTAACATTGTAGATGTATCTCTAACACTTGTGTCTTTAACATTGTATAGATGTATCTCTAACATTGTATAGATGTATCTCTAACACTTGTGTCTAACATTGTATAGATGTACCTCTAACACTTGTGTCTAACATTGTAGATGTATCTCTAACACTTGTGTCTAACATTGTATATATGTATCTTCTACGATTGTTTCTAACGTTGTATTGATGTATACACTTGTATCTAACATTGTATATAGTGCTTGTACCATATATTTCATAGGTTTCTCACTCTTGTACTACACACTGTAGAGATTAATTATATCTCGCGCTTGTACTATATTTTGTACAGGTGTACATGTATATCAAAGATTTCTGTCGATCATTGTGCAGTGGACAAGTCTTTCTAAACAAACACATTGTACAGGTGTGTCTTTTACATGTATACTTGTATCATTCATTGTTTAATGTATATTTCTAACACATATACCATTTTACAGGTGTATGCTGTAGGTACTAACTCTAATGGAGATGTTTATAATGGGATCAAAAGCATCAATACCTATATAGCCCCTGCAGGACGTAAGTATTTCTCATTATGTCAGACTGGAACTCTTTACGCGCTATGCATGTTTATGTCTACCATTAGCGGTAAAGCATGAATTGCACCGACACCAAATGGATGCAACAATATTGTTGTAAAATGCCTTAGGAATTAGATTCAAAATGCGAACTAACACATGTGAAAGCTTAATTTACATCACAGGCTGATTTTTCAGTAAACATTCTCAATGGTATATCTCGTCCCATACGTGCACGATGGACAAAATATCAGATAAAACTGCAGGCTGTAGAAACACATCTACATGTAGCTGAGTCAGAAAATCAGTCTAGCATGTGCAACGTGTGTCTAACATTTTCATTGCAGCATAATGTGACGTTGTTGCACAAACAGGATAATGTGGTATTTCAGGATCTCATTGTGGTAGTGTACATCGGTCAACTGTCCATCAATGTCATTCCCAGCTATATGCTGCCTCAGACCGTCACACACAGTTGTTCAGAAAACGCTTTCTAATGGGATGGTACACATCGGATGGCTGTCACTGTTATGTCCAAGTGGATCCGAGCCTCATCTGAAAACAGGATGGAGATGACTCCTGCACCGAGAGAGACGTGGGACACGATGAGGTCGCTGCAAAACAAAGCAGACAGCAGGAAATTTTGGATGAATGTGGTATTCATGCAGGTGGTTTCTTAGTTCTTGGACTGATTCTGCATTATCCAGAAATGCTTCTCTCCGTAAAAGCTGTTTCAATACATCAAAAAATGTGCATATACAGGATGATTCGAACAGCACCATGACAGATGATCCTAGAGCTGGTGCTAATGAAGGCATACCATTGCAAACAACCATGAACACCTAACCCAACTTAAAAAGTGATTGTAGGTTTCGAAAGAATTACAACCAGTTGCCGCTGGAAAGGCGATGTTTATGTCTTTTTGGCTGAATTGCAACGCAATCGGGGCTTATAGATTGGCGATTTCCGTCCGGATGTCTGCACTAAGGTTAAGCAGAATGGTTAAGCTCGGTTTCCGAGTTATTTATTATCCAAAATCAACTAAACGCTTGGTTTATATATCTAAGGATGCGTATCACATGCTATGCTGCTTCTGACCTACATGTTCCGCTTGACTGACCAGGTGGAGAAGATCGGTTATGATCAGGCCCAATCTGCACTATGGTTAAGAAGATTAGTTTATATCACTTACCAAGTAACTACTTGTCATACATATCATATATACTTGCATGGCTGATTTATCTAAGGATGCTTATTACATGCGACGCTTTAGATGCTGGTTCAGTGTACAGTAGCGTACGATGGCCATGGGTGATATTTGTATACAATGATTAACCCCTGCAATATAACATGTATCAACATTTAAAAAACAAATCAGCACTAAAATTGGCATATACATGACAAAGTGGACTATGTGGGATTCATAATTTAAAAAAAATCAAATTTGGTTTGAGACTACAGTTTTGGGCATTAACAATATGTGTCTATACAACAAAAGCTAGCTTTTCATGTAGTCTATTTATGTACTCAGCACATGTGTAAATATTGTGAAAAATCCGCCGGAATGACCTATGCTTAAACGTGAGTGTTTCTGTTACCGAGTAGGCGGTATTTAATTTCAGACGGGTTTTAAGAAAAAAAATACTACTTGCGGGGGTCAAATTTTGGGTTAAAAACCATGTGGTGGTTTTTTTTGCATATTTCGGGGTTTTTTTGATGTGGTAACCATGGTTTTCACAAGTCCCAAATCTGGGGAAAACAGTTTTTGAAAAAAAAATCATTCTTCTAAATGAATTGAATCAAAATGTAGTTTGTAAATATGTAAATATATATAGGTGTTTTGTGCAGGTTGAATTAACTATCCATGTTTATCTGAGACATGCCCTTTATTTTTAGGGTCAAGCCATTTCTATTGTACACTGCTACCTAGGTTGAAAAGATTGGTTAAGGTGATGATCAACCTGTTTCTATCTACACGTTGTGGATATGGTTGTATCTTAAACCAGGCAATGGATATACATTTTCGTGTTGTGATATTTGAGTTTGTAATTTGTTAGTTAGGCATTACCCGATATGATGATGAGCATTAAGTTGATTTGAAATAAAACCTTGAATCAAAATTCGTCTTATAATGAAACCCATTTCATGCATCAATTGTAGCTGATGAATTATTTTCAACGATAAATACGTGTACTTCAGTTGCAGCCCTGTCTGAGGTGTGTGGTATTGGTTCCTCGCCTGTAGATTGTCAGAACGTCGTTACATCATCTTGTACAGCCAGTAACACACAGGGAGTAACTGTGTGCAGGTGTAACCTGGGACACTTTGACAGTAATGGTTACGACGTACCTGGTGGCACTTGTGTTTCAAGTAAGTTGTTCTGTTTGTTTCCTTTATCGATAAGGTACATATAATGTTTGTCTCCTATATAATGTTCTGTATTGGCGGTCAATGTCATGACACTATTTAAATAGTCATATCAAGGAAAAAATCACCACAAACTTACACTATTTGAAATATAAAACTACGGTCTATTCAAGTTAAATTACCAAGTTTATATATTGTTTACACCATACAACAGGACGCAAGCGTGAATGTAAAATTTGGTCTGAAAGTATTGTTAAATGACAACTACTCAATCCTTACCAATATATCCAGCTCATTTTCTCATTATGTGATCTGAAATTAAAATTAGTGTTAATTAACTGCATTCAGCAAATATACACCTATTTATTTAAAAAATGAAGTGAAAGTGAAGCAAAAAAAGGCTGGTTAATGAAACATTATAAATATCTATCTAAAAGTGAGCACTGTCAGGGTAAACGGTGTGACGTCATCAGGTGCCGTTGACACTAGTACAGCAACAATCAGCTGGGTCCCTCCGCCTGATCAAAGCCACGTGTCGAGATATACGGTGGTGTGGCGAGTCAGTGGTTCGACTGCAATAGATGGATCATTCAATGCTGGAAAGTCAAAATATGCTAGTATAACCGGGCTGGAACACGACACCACATACGTGTTTACTGTCAAAACTGTGGAAACCGGAAGTCGGATTGAACCTCAGGATATCGAATCTGACGCTTCCGTCACAATTACGACGAGTAAGTTACAACGCTTTCTACATTTAAACGTGTGATATTTTCAACCACAAAAATAAGTAATATTGTTAGTTTCATATTTCAGGTTTCATTAATCAGCATATCACTCTATCCAGAAACATGTTATAGGACAATCAATCCCTGAAGTTGGCCGTTAACTTACAATTTATCATATCATTGTTTACATGAAATAATATTTCATATTAGATTATCTGTTTTAGCCAACGGTCGGGAAATAATTATGTTAGTATGGATTTCTTTGCTGTATATTTCAGAACACCTCAAAAATACAATGTACTTGATGGTTTTCAGCCATGTTGTTATTTCAATATATGTTCAAAGCTATGATTTTTATGCAACTCTTTTGTAAATCTGTATTGTATTTTAGTTGAACTTGCTCTACTAAAAATTTCAAAGAGTAAGATATACTATTTCAAATTTTGGCAAAACAAAGGAATTTTGTAATTTTCTTGATCCCAAAAGACAAAAAGATTACTGTTTTTCCTGTTACAATACATTATCTATCATGCGGGGAACCATAATACAGACTGCAGTATGTTTTTATTGGTAAATTCACTTGACCTATTATTATATTTTATTAAATTTGTTTAAGAAATTTGTAACAGATTATTATTTTACTCTAGACACGAGCATCACACCCTGGGTAGCTGTCTTCGTCGTAGCACTTGTACTCAGCATTCTCTTTTTCGTGACGTCAGTGTACTTTTGGAATCGATCCCGACGAACAGAAGGTGACTATACTTATTTGAAATAAAAGAGATTATTCAGTCAATTTGTGTGTTTTATCAAGTACTGAGAGTATAGAAACCGTAAAATCTAGCACTATCCATTGGTTAATAAACATGCACGATTAGACAATAATCTACACGCGTGCATGCATTATTTCCCAACAAATCATGTACTTAAAACGCTCCTCCAAAAGCCTAAACTATTCGAAATACATCCAGGTGAAATAGGCACAATATGATCACTGGCTGCTGTGTCCGGAAGTAATAACAACAGCTGTGATGTCGGCAAGTTATTGAAAACAATGAGACATTACAGGCAAATGTGCCCCAAAAAGAACAGTCTTATCAAAATAATTCCATTATTGAGGTTATACGTAGTTTGTTGATTTTGATTAGCTCAAAAGATCTTTTTATCAATCATAGCAATGCTCCTCCCAAAAATGATTCCTCATACCAAACTAAAGGAACGCTTGCTTCTCAAAGAAGAGCGACTAGGGTTATATATATATGTATGGTTGTTAATTATTTTGGAGCATATCATATGAGGAAAAAAACAAAGCCCAGAATGATATAAACTAAGGACAATGTGAAAATGATTGAGTTACTGGTTGACAATGTTTATGTTGGTGTTGGTGCCAAATTTTCTTGCAGATGGTTGGCATTCATATGGGGAAACAACTGCTACACTTCTGGCCGATTTGTTTCTTTTTTATATGAAGCTGAATTTATTTATGAGCTTACCAGCACAAGTAAAAATAACCTAGCAAAGTCGTTGTACATTCAAATAAAATCGACGATGTGCTGTCTTCCTAATAACTGTACGATAGGTGAGACGATTTCGACTTTCACATCATGAACTTTCCCTTTCTTGATAGTTACATTCCTGTTTTCCCTTCCCTTGGTGTTCACATGCTGTATTGATTCGATACCCAATAACTTGATTATGATTGGATTTATAACACGAAACTCGGAAATGTTGGTTAGAGTAATCCATTCAATCCGAAGCGGCTATCGTAATTTATCATTATTTTACCGACATTTTCTCCTACTCGTTGTTTATTCCTACATTATTAGTTGTGCACGCATACTGTTTGATGTGCTTTTAAAAGGTTATATGACATAACCTATCATCATAGTCCATCATAGTCAGTGCATTCGACAACATATGTTATTTTCATAACAGTGCGCTATTCATGTCGCTACAGATAAGCATATCCGGCGTAGAGAATGTCACTATTTGACTTCCTTTTAAAAGTACAATATTTTATATCAAAATGAACGATTCCGAGTAAAACAGCTGTTAAATTCAATATGTTTACAAAAATATATTTCATAAGCTTGTATTGTATATTTTTAGGTAAAGCTACAGATGAATCTCATTACGCAACGCCATCAAGGTAATTATGTGATATATTGACATGTCTTTCTATTTATGAATGATACTGTATTTCATTGATAATTAATTACAAACCTCAAAGTTATCTAGTTTGTGATAAAGCGGTAGATAAGAACCTGGAAGTATTTTCATCATTATATAAAGAATGATAAAACGATTGCTAAAATGAATTTAATTGCATTAGCATACGCTGAAAAGCATTGCACTAAATCATAATCATAAACGTTCGAAGTTCGATGTCGTGGCTATTATAACAGATGGCATAGTGAAGATGTTGGTGTTGAGAATGTATACCTCAGAATAAAAAGTTATATGTATGCTCCAAACTTGTGAAAAAATATCAAATACATGTTATACCTACTAGAATTATACGATATTCACCATAAAGCCATTTAGCAAGCTTTATATCTCTTACAGAATATACAACAACTCAGACATGCATCTCTATAACCTCACAGCGGACGAAAGGCAGGTGATACAGAATGAACAATCACAGACACAGACTGCAGACTACAAAAATGTTAATATCTACGACACAGCCCCGTAAATGATTCGATACATCTGGTTTGCCACTATTTCAACGAAATGTTGTAACAGTAGATACGTTTGTAGCTATTTGCTACTTTGTACTGAGACTTCCAAGTACTGCATATCTATTCAAAACTATTTGTAGAACGGAATCTCATGTGTTATGGTCACATAAAATATATTGTTGTCAAGTACTTGCATTTCTTTTCACGACTCTAAACAAACCAGTAAACTACATGGGTATAGCAATCAGATGTTCAATTTGTAATTTTTTAACCATATTTAAAATAATCAATGAATGTCAGCTTGGGTTCTGTAAAAAAACGTATATTTAGGATCTCGGATCACTTTTGTTTTAAAAACCATTATTGATAAATATACAAAACAAGATACAAAAAAAAAGTTCTTTTTTATAGCTAACAATATGTGAAACCTTATGGTTGTTTTGATAATGTTTAAAGAACTTTTGATAGGGACATCAGTATTCTGGTATTGAACTTACACTTATTTTCAACACAACATATACACATTACTCATAAATAAACGAATAAATTACATAAGGACACAAAAAGGTGGGTACCAAAAAATCTCAAATTTATTCATTTTATACCTGAAAACGTATGGAAGATTATGATTTGTTAATAGTAGAAACATGTAATGCCTGACGAATGTAATGATAATGTGCTGGTATCCACTTCTAAAGTTTGACTTCAGGAGCAGTTTCGTAAACTGAAAGAATAACTATGATCACTGGTGCCTAGATATCAATACTCTTAAACACCAGATAATAATATATATTTATATTTCTACTGAACCTGGCTTCAATATACCTTGCCAAAGAGTTTGGGGTTTATTTTTCCATAAACTTTCCTGTTCGTGTATTAATATGTCAGAAAATGAATGCGGGAAGTAGAAGTTTCCGATTAAAATAGCTCCTTATTGACATGTTACACTTTATATATTTTTTAGCGTTGTAATAAATGCAAAACAGTTATAAGTGTTACCATGAAGACGACGCAACTAGGAGACCTCGGCACCCTTTGGAGTTTAAGACATACATATGTTTGATATTTCGGAAATGATCACAATATTATCAAAATAACACTGAATGTTAATATATAAGGATGTAATCCTATTTCTGAATATAAATTATATAACAAATTGATATTTTGTTATCTAAAATATTAATGTTATCAATATAATTTCCGAGTTTATGGTATCGGCATCATCTTTGCAGACGGAAATACATGTAAACTACAAATAGTAGGATTATCGCCCTTGTAATGGGTCACCGTTGTTGTCGGTACAAATATTCCCCATATTTAGTTGTTAAAAATGTTAACTTTTGAAATACTCATTTTGTATAAATGAATGCTGTTCTGATCGCGTGTCTGTGATTGATAAGACAACGATTGATTTTGTTGGGACCAAAGTGGATGAAACCCAATCAAATTAGTCAATATGTGTTAATAGGTATTAACAGGGGTCATATACGTGTACGGTTCCATTGGGCTGGTTGAGATAAGGATTTCAATAAGATACCCCTCAACAAGGAGTTGCGCTTACTTACGCTGTGCAAATAGCGTAAATAAGTCTAACCCCTTGAGTATCAGTGATGATTGAGATATGTTATTGAACCCATCTAGATTTGGTGCTACACATCATTATTCATTATAAACAAATGTTCGTTAAATGGAGAAGACTCGAGCGGAATTTTCACAACTAATTTTTGTAATTTAACACCGATTTACCGGAAATTTCTTTGCTTTGATATTTAATATTTCATTGTACTTTCAATCATGTTTTATTATCGCCAATTGTGTTAAGTAACTAACTTACCAGCATTTTAATCAATTGAAATATTTGTCTGGAATTATTAACCCTCAGGTATAAAGTGGGAGGATTTTTAATTGTAGTGTCAGTGGTCACAGGAAGGACTACAGCGTTAATAAACTCAGTTGTTTGTTATACCTGATTACTAAAGTAACAAACCGTAGTGTTCTTTCTGATAAGAGAAAAATTGTAGAGGTAATACCAGATTGGGATTGACTTGTGAGGTGTCAGTCCAGAATGGAGTAAATAGTACTGTGGGCGTAAAATGAGGAAAGTGACGAGAGCGACTTTTTTATGTTCTGCTGGATCATTTTATAATCCCGACGTAAACGCAACTCCATCACTGGATACTATTAACATAAAGAACATGTGTTATTATAACCTGGTGCATTTTGAAGTTTGCTTTGTTTCATCTGGTGTCATTATATTAATTGAATTGTATTTATAAAATGTATATTTGTTAACTGTACAATTTAATTTTGTGATGTTGTGTTACATTAAAAGAGGTTTATAACATTACTATGCGGGGTCACACAATATCGTTTTCATAAAGGATTTCTGTAATTACTTTACAGAGTTATAATGTTTTTTATACAATTTATAAAATCACTCCGCAGAGAAAACGAAATTAAATCATTACTGTGCATATGTATTGTGTTATATGTATGCTGAACAAAAAAAGAAACGCACATTTAAATTATGCAATCAATAGCCTATGATATTTTGCGAAATTTGTACAAACATTTTTTTCAATATGAAGGGACAAGTCTACTATTTACAATACTGTAGAAGAAAAGTCTGTGTGAAGTCACTCGTGTCATCAGTAGTAACTCAAAGTGGGATACCCGCGAAAAACAAAATGACACTGCAGTACCTGGCCATGGTGTGGGCATCTTTGCACGAATCCCTGAACGGAAACTCCTATGAATTGAATTCATGAGAACATTTATTCGCCTTAAGGGAATGTTGTTCCATTCTTGTGTTAACGCTGCGATCAACTGGGCGTGGTTAGTTGGGGGGTTTTGACGTTTCCTAATACGCCTGTCCAGCTCATCCCACATATGCTCAATGGGAGACATATCGGGCTATATGGGGGCCATTCCAGAGGCTAAAAGTTGTTTGCCGTGAGAAAATCACGACAGACTCTGGCAACATGCGGTCGAACATTGTCTTGCTGGAAAATTAGGTTATGACGTCTGAGAGTTGGAAGGACATGTGGTTGGAGGATCTGGTCTCTGTATCGAACATCATTGAGGTTTTGATCCAGGACCACTAAGGGGGATTTTACTCCATGGGAGATGCCTCCCCAAACCATTACAGAAGCCCCACCGAATCTATCGCGTTCAACTACGCATGCGTCGGCGAAACGCTCACCGCGTCTGCGATATACCCTTTTTCTTCAATCTGAGCAATACAGACAGAATCAAGACTCGTCGGTGAACATCACACGCCTCCATCAACGCATCCCAAACCGATTCGGGCCATGTCTGCGCATCCAGTCAAGACGCACTTGCCGCCTCCGTGGTTTCAGAGGTGGCCCGACATCAGGTCGGCGCCCAATGATTCTCTCGGCACGCAAGCGGTTCCTGGCAGTTTGAGGACTAATGGGTCTGCCAGGAGTACCTAAGGTATGCGACGCAGTCTCTACAGCAGTCTTGAATCTGTTGCACAAGTGCGACAATCGAATCACCCTGTCTTGTCGTGCGGTCGTTACACGCAGACGACCGCTCCTGGGACGACCGGAAACTTACCCAATAGACGGTTAGTGTACACGGGCCAACACCAAACTGCCGTAAAACAGCAGTTTGGCTATGACCATCCATCAACATCGCAATTGCTCTACCCCTCTGAATTTGCGTTAAGCGTGGCATCTCAGTCAATGGCGAAATCAAAATGCCAACGTGGAAAAATAATGTGTCTAATTAGAGTATCCGTTGAGATTATTTGTTTGAAAAACTCCGGCTTGGCTTGATTACGTCGCGTGATTTGGACTTAAGAAGCTCAAAAAGTCACACATGACATCGTCAGGCTTGGCTGATTTTAGGGTATATTGTTAGTTTAAACTTTCTTTTATTCAAGTATTTCAATTATACACATATATATGCAATATATATATATTGTAAATCTATCACCTTAAGCTAAGGTGTACTGCAGGGGGGGGGGGATTTGTGCGTTACTTTTTTGTTCAGTATATGTGTTGCATATGTGGTAAATGGGTGCTTGTATGCAATATCTTATTAGGTTTTTAATTTAGAATATCTTTTTGTCATAACGCTGATGTTGCTTAATTTTATGAACATTTACATACTGGGTATGATGTTAAAGATAAAATAAGTTGTCTAGAACAAATGTAAATAATATATTACGTGTAATATTTACCAATTAAAGTTTGAAAATAGATTTACATTTTGTGTGTTTTATCGTTAACCTGTTGCTGTTGCTAAAACCTCCAACAGAAGTTTAACATTTTCCTGCGAAAACACGTTGTACTCTTCAAAGTTGTACTTTTGTAAAGGAAGAAAAACTGTAGTTTGTATATGTACTTTCAATGATAAGTTAAAAACATTCTAAATTGTATATATATATGCATATATAAACATCATGAGGTCGTAATATCTTTGGGATTCTGGATATATTCCATGAACTGCTTTAGCGCAAGTCACGTCCAGGTCCCTAGGAAGTGGACAGACGGTAAACAATAGAAAGTTTTAGCCGTTACGGACGCCCCATTGGTGAAGATTCCAAACTCTTAATCTGGAAATTTCGTGACACGCAAAGCCAGTTTTTACGCTTTGCTAAACTTTAGTGACGGCCTGTCATATCGAGCCACATGACTGACTGTGAAGTATAATTGAGGCTTGGTCACTAATTTTACAAGGCACAATCAGCATGATTAATAAGTTGTAACACAAATATTGTGGCATCGGTACTACTATTCCAATGACAGAGTAACATATTATGTTAGACCAACACTTTAACCACTATGGTGGACAAATGACATTAGAACTGTAGTAACAGTTAATATGGAAAGTTGTTTCAAGGAGGAGTATGATTTCATTACTATGACAAGTTTGAGGAAGTATGCTGTCGACTGTCCTATCCAATGTATATAACCGTTCTTGTAATAAGTTAACTTCCATGTCAGTTAATAGTTTCATTTTGGTAGCATTGTTTTCATAGGTTAACATACAGGAACCAGCAACTGGTCATTCTTAAGCAACTTTCCTTCACTTCTCGTCAAAGTGTAATGAAAGCTTTAATGTGCTACCGAACAGAGAAAACACAAAAATATTAAAATGAGGTTTTCTTTTTCCATGAGGATGGTGTTAGAAAATGAAAAATGATATTTAGATTTGCTTAACATTTTAATTGTCACATTTAATAACAAGATAATAAATATAAGTCTAACAACAGTACAATACATGTCACACTTTCTCTCTTACACTCTCTTTTTCTCAAGACGAGAATGTTATGGGGGGGGGGGGGGGGGGGGGGGGGGGGGTCTTGAGGAAGGCCACAATTATAAATAATTACGGAGAAAGGCAAGTTTGATTGAAATTATTTATCTAAGATTCCGAGAAATGTACTACACACAAACTTCGAATAGAAACCTATCCCGAAACCCGAAATCCCAAGTCTAGGCATGGAAAAGTCTGATAGACATCGCGTAAAGAATGAAGTAAATTATGCCCCTTAGATTCATGAAATGAATATATTAACCAGTATATAGCATTTACACTTAAAAACCCAACAACATTCAGAGGGCATTCACATAGCCTATGAATGTCATCAGACTGTCGTTGACGTAATCATTATTATTACGTCAATATGAGGCGCTAGCACACTTCTTATACCAGTGTTTGAATTTTATTTTTTTCTGTATTTGATAACATATAACTGATAGAATTCGGTGTTAACCAGCCCAGTGAAATCATGTTACATATAACTCAGCAGCATTATTTGAAGAGCCGAAACACGAACACACGCGAAAATTTCTCTTTTGAAGGTTACCAGGCGAATATGTCAATTATATAACGTGTTCATTGACTGCTGTCAGCCGTTTCCTCAAACAGAATCCGCGCCGCCTCCTCTTCATCCACCGTCTCAATAATTACAGGCGTCTTTGTTCGGAGGAAGAGGACTCGGTTGTGAGCATGCTCAGTGAACTCCAACATGTTGATCTCAATGGCGAGGCGATGTGCTGCATCGGCGTGCTCTAGAGCCCTGACAGAGTTATTTCGGCGGTACTGGTAATCACATTTTGCAAGGAGGTAATGCACCTCCAGAATCTTGGATATTGGGATATTGGAGTCTTCTAACTGACGGAGATAGCTTCCCGCTAGCTCTATATTGTCAGAACCCGGATGTAACACGTCCATTGTCAGACCGCTATCCCCACACTGAAGAAGTAATATCACCAGCCTGCACAGGGCATATCCAAACCCAAAAGGTCCATCTTTTCCACCATCTTTTTGGAAGTTGGCAAGAGACAACTGGAAACTTTGTTTTGCTTGTGCGTGAAGGCTTCTATATGCCTTTGCAAAGTTAGATTTGTATACATTAAGCATGCCTATCAGAGCTGTCATGTTCCTCGCATCGTTCATGTATAACCAACCTGCTGCACGACCAGTGCATCCAACAGGATCTGTCTCAATTATCATTTTAGCATCATCGAGAATCCTTTGGAGTTTCTGGAGTTTTTTCTGTGTGATATACATACGTGTCAACGCTGTGAACAGTTCAAGTGTGAAATATTTTGGATTGCTTGTATTTGGAACCAGCTCCATTGCAGAATTTATATGCTTCTTGGCCGATGCAAAATTTGTTTTAAACAAGTCTTTGCTTGCATGCAGATAGCCTAATATACACATCATGTCAGCATTACGGTGGTATTTGTGTTTTAATCCGTTAGCAAACTGTTCAAACCTGTCATATTGTCCCTGATTGATCATGGTGCTGAGAAGGTTGAAAGCTACTTCCAGACGCTTGTTCGGTATTTTGCCCGGATTTACGGACCCAGGGTTATATGACAAAACATAATCCCTTGTTTCTTTTGCACACTCTTTGCTTTTACCAGTAGTATCTTCAAAACAACAGTTTTCGTGCTTTTTCCTGGCACTTCGTTGCTTCTGGAAAACCTGCTTAAAAGAAATGTCTTCCTCNAGTTTCTGTTTTCTCATGTTTTCTAATTCTAATGTATTGGTTACTAGGTATTCTAATGATGCATTTTCTTCATTCTCTAATTTTGCTATATTTTCTTTTAATTCATTCTCTTTAAGGTTACTATCTTTTTTCTTGAATGAAGAATAGGATATACTTTTGCCTCTGATTTCCATAAGTAGTGTTTCTAAAAATAGTTGATCGTTAATAGTGAATTGTATGTCTGTGTCCTGAATATCATCTAAATTGGACAAGTTATAGACTGGGACAGCATACTGTTCCTTTTCTTTACATATTACAGATTTAACAAGATCTAAATATTGACACTCTTCTAAAAGTGAGTTGTTGAATTTCCATAATCCTTTACCTTTTTTAAACTCGTTGAATTTGATCTTGATTACTGGGGTGGAATGGTCTGATCTATAACTTGGTTCTATACTTGTCGATTCAATACTGGATAAAAGATTTTCAGAGGTGAGAAAAAAGTCTAGCCGTGCTTGTTTTCTAGGATTTGTTTTCCTCCATGTGAATCGTTTTTTATCAGGGTGATGTTCTCTATA